ATTGTATATGAGTAAAATCATTCATTGTATAAGTTCGCTTCATGAGAAATAAATACCTGAAAAATTGGAGCATCCGGCGATTCGATACCAATAACGTCCGAGGCATAATATTTTTACCAAATGCTGAATGAGGAGCTATCAAATGCGTAAACTTTAACTGTTTTTGAGTTGACGCAAGTAAAGGTGCATAAACTTCTGCAATTCCGTGCTCGTAAACTTTATCTTTCGCTACGAGAACTTTGGAAACACCTTTAATTTTGGAAACCTCTGAAACTATAGGATCAGGACCTTCACCAGCAACAAGGCAATCACATTACCACCGAGTTTTGAAGCAGCTGTGAACGCATTTAATGTAGAACTCGCAATAGCTTTATTTTTGTGATCGACGAGAAGCAAAGATGAAATGTCTTGAGCAGTTGCATAACCACGAAGACAAAGAATAGGTCGAATCTATTATATTAATTAGAATTATTACCCTAAGCATTCAATTTGAATTTATTACGTAAATTAATTACCCCAGATAAGGTTCTTTTGTTAATGATCTGAGTAGATACTCTTCGTAGAGAAAACATTATGAAAAGTCGGGATATTTGATTATCCCCCAGTTTCAATCAATGTGTTACATTTATCTATTTTCTTTAGATAACGATAATATGTAATCTAATCTGCGAAATTTCTTCTGTAACTTTTTTTATCACATGACATAATTAAAATTTCTATTTATATGGGAAATCTAAATTTTGATACAGTCATGTGCTCAAATTAGCTTAAACGGATGCAACATGGATCATATCATCATATCTAAAGCAAAGAAATATTTTCACACGATTTATTTCTTAATAAAATGAGTAAAATGTCCAATAAAGCTGATCCATATGACTATATGGAAGGGTTCGGAAATCATTTTACTTCCGAAGCTTTGAAAGACGCATTACCAAAGGGTGCAAGTTTAACTACTTATAATTTTAATAGTCTCCTTTAAATATCAATTCTGAATTTATTTTTTTCCATAGGTCAGAATACAAAAATGTCAATACGGCCTTTACGCAGAACAGCTTTCAGGAACTGCGTTTACAGTAGACCGTAAAAATAATCAACGAAGGTACGGTATTAATTTTTTTTTTTCAATGATCCATCCACCTTTTTATTGATTTCATTCTTTGTTCATTTAGATATTAAATAAATATTATTATTATTATCTTAATGTTATTAAAATCATATTATTATAATATTATTAATATAATATTAATTTAATATTATTATAATATCATCAAATCAATATTATAATGATTTTATTATTGCATTTATTAAATATAGTTTAAGTTTTATATTTTATACTTTTTTGGTATGTTTTTTAATATTAATTTCTTTAATATCGTATCATATTTATAAGAAATTAATGGTTAATACTATCGAATCTTTAAATTCTTCTCTTATTGTAGTTTGAAATAAATAATCAATCTTAAATCTACACTGACTGTTGCTTCATCCATTATAATCAATTTAAAAATTCGTACTAATGCTCTTGCTAATACTATTAATTGTTGATCTTGTGAAAATTACTTCCATTCTCATTGACAGGTGAATCAAGTGTCAACTTCTCTCGCTTGTTTTGTTATGATACCGATTCACTTTTCACAGGTGATTTTTCGTTTAACGTAGAATCTGTATTTTCATTATCTGCATCTTCTTGAATGATGTCAACTTCTCGAAGTTAATTCTATAAGGTTGCGTCATAATACTCTTTGAATGGATTAAATTGCTCCTTAATAAAACAAAATTTTTAATTGTTTTTTTTTTCTTTTTTCATTTACTTCCGAGTTATAATAAATAAGATCATTTAAAATAATTAATTACCTTAACGTGTTGTTGAACAAAATAGAATAATAGTAATTTTACTTCAAAGGTCTTAAAGACCAATGGTAATAATATCAATGCCATCCAATTCAATTTGTTCTGAAGTTGGTTCGTTAATATTGATTTGCCACAACCTATTTTTTTATTTTTTATTTATTTTTTTTTTTTTTAAAAAGAAAATAAAAATAAAAAAAAGTTTGAATTTTCTTTTATAAGTATAATTAGCAAATTGATAATTCATAATGTTCATACTACGTACTAATTTTTCCAATAACACTAACTTTTACTGATGTGATTATATTAAATGTAACTCCTTTAAAGATGGGTGGAAGTTCAGATATCACTAAATCTGACTTCTCCTTAACGGGCCATTCGGGTAGTGGTCTATGATCTGAAATTATTGATTCAGCTTCAACATCCAGTGAATCTGAATAAAGTACAAGTCATTCTATAGCATTTATATTCGCTTCCTGATGGATATAATAAAGGAAAGTTTAAAAAAAAGGTCAGAAATATTTTTTATTTGAATAGATAAAAGTGAAACATTGACTTACCACTTCAGTAAAATGCCTGATACACCAGTTGAAATTACCAGTGACTTGAAGTGCTTAATACCAAACCAAGAATTGTAAGGTTTACATTATATCTTCCAATAATAGAAAATAAACTTGTAAAAATACTAATGCATTTGCATTACTTCAAGCCGAATACCAACCAACATTGGATAATGATTATTATAAGGAAATATGCCCGATTTTCAATATCAACAAATTGTCTCATTCATTCTATCAATTAAAAATCTATTTGAGTGAATTGTTCCTAAATCTACAACAAAAATATCATTAAAGATAAAACAAATCTTAACTTGTTTACGATAAGCTCAAATCGTAGGTATGATTGATAAAGAGAGACAAAAAGGGAGTCAAGATCTAGAAAATCAAAATTGGCTTTTTAATAAGAAAAACTAAAAAAAAATTCTATTAATTATGCTTAACCTTACGTTTCAATTCACTATATGTGGATCAATATTAGAGAGCAGCAAAATAATATAATGTCAAAAGTGGAACCAAAGGAACAAGGAATTATACTAAACTCAAGCTAAGGAACATGCAATTAAGTGTCAAAAAGTTCATTAAACTGCATTATTGCATACACTCTTTATCGTGCATTTAAATGCTCAGATTTTCGTTTGATGCTATTATTTTTCCTAAAAGCATATTTCTAAAACTGATCCAGTAAAATATATAAAGGTGATGTTCCACTTTTTTACCCTTTACAAATATAAGCAAAAATCAAGTGAAAAATCGAAAGTTCGTTCTAATAAAAAAAATTCTGTTTTTTATCAGATCCATCAGATATCTGATTATCCATCCGATCTATCCGATGGATAATCCGCCTTTTCTGCTAAATAAAAAAATTTTTTTTTATCTCCTTTTGGATGAAACATTTTTTATAATGGAAACTACATTTAAAAAAAAATCTTGTAAAATTATTGAATAACAATGTTATCGAGACAGGAACTAAATCTAGACGAAATAGATTTAGAAATATTAAAAAAGTCAAAAATATCTGAAGCTCATTCCAAAAGGAAGATTTTTATAGAAATGGTTTGACAACAGGTCCAACACTAGCAATTATAGAATTTATACAAAAAGGTATTTGATTTAGGGTGAAATTTACAAATGATCATATTATTTATTTGATTTTAATAAATTTTAAATTAATGATTTTAATATATAGTTATAGAAAAAACAGAAATTACTGTTGAAGAAAATGAATTTTTATCACAAATAATTAAAACAAATCATGAGGTAGGGTATATTTATTGTTATCTTAAGATGATTGAGAAGCGGATAATTAAGACTTTTCTGATAAATTTATATATGAAAATAATTATTTATTGGATTACTACAATATCTTGTATATTTATTTATATTACAAGAGAGGCAGTCGTTAGACTGCATGTGATGCCAATTAATTTTTCTAATTTTATTTTTATTAATAATGTTTATAATGTTTATTAACGAAATTTTTTTATACTAATTTAAGAATTATAAGAAGTATGAAATATTTTATGAAATGATGAATGGAAATTTACAATCTTTTATTGATGAAATTTTAAAGTAAAGCACTAAGATCTTATCAAGAATATAATGAGAACGTTTTTCATATGGCTATTGAAGTGCTATTAAGAAATTTTTCCATAAGATATATTTCTGAATTACAAATAATTATGAAATATAATGAAAATTCGTGAAATAACAAGATTACTTATGCTTTTATAGATCTTTTTTTATCTGATAATAATTTAGAACAAGATTGTGTTGTAATTGAATTAAAATTATTTAATTTAATTGGACTTTATTCTGGAAATTTGTATACTATACATGTAAATGGATGAAACATCTAGAACATATCTTTAGAAGATTTTGATAAAAAGTTACAGAAGGAATCAGTGGAATTATTATTAGAAAGAAATTATATTTATTTGTGTAAATATAAACAAAATATAAATCAATTAGATAAGAAGTATCATTAAAAGTAGATATGAACAATTATGCAAATATATTAATGTAATTGGTAAAGATAAAATTTATAATGGAGTTAGTGTATTAAATAATAGAATAATAAGTGAAGCAAGATTAAGTTATATAAGAGGATATTTGATAGCTTCTTTTAGAATGCAACAAATTATAGTAAAATTTATAACTAAAACTTTTAATTACGAATATGAATGTCTAGATATTGATACTATATGAAATCAATCCTACTACATCACAAAGATTGACAAATGATTAACATTATTAACATTTTTAACAACTTCAACATTTTTATATTATTTATTTTTATCTTTATATTTTATTATTATATATTTATTATTTATTATATTTTTATTATAGTTAAATTATATTTTATCTCTTATATTTATTTGAATGTTATAAATTAGTTTATATAAAATAGTATTAGAAAATTGTTCTTATAAATGGATAGAAATAACAGTAATAACTTAATAGGTCAATTTAAAGACTTAAAATTTAAGGTTAAGGATTGTTAAGAATACAATCTCTACAATAAAAAAATCTCTTTTTAAATTATATATATATTAAAATCCTTCAACATGTTAAAGTATTTATTTTTTACAAATTGTTAAAGTTATTTTATTTATCTAAATTATCAACCTAAGGTTGATTGTTATAGGACTTATTCTATAATAACTTAGTAGTTTTTTACATGTTACTCACTATTATTAAGTCATTATTACCTTAAATTTGACAGTTTAAACGTAGTGTTAACAATATGAATTCTTAATTAAATTTATAGCAGAAATTTAAAGAAAATTATCAATATTTTAAAAAAATTAAAAGGTTTCTTTTTTAGTAAAATTTTTATTTTAGAAATTAGATTTTTTGAAGTTTTTTTACTTTATAACAACTTTAATAATGATGATAATTTGTAAAGAATTTTATAGTTCAAAAAATTTTTTTATATTAAAATATTAATTATTTGTTATATAAAAAATAAATTGAATATAAAATACAAAAACTATTTAAAAAATATAAAAAAATATAAAATTAAAATGCTTCTATATGAAATTATATCTTATATATTTTAAGTAAAAAATTTTTCTTTATCTTATATAAATCTAATTATTTCTCCTCTATTATTTTTAATTAAGGTATCAATAATAATATAAATGTTAAGTTTATTTTAAATTCTTTGTAATATGTGAAATAAAATTCCATAGAATGTTTAAGTAAAATAATTTAATTTAGTTTTAGAATGTTATATAAAATTTAAATTCAATTAATCTTACCATTAATATAGAAAATTTTTGTTAATACTAGGGAACGGTGAGGGCCATTGTGAAGTCCAAAGCGTGAAAGATGCAGGAATGTGGTAGAGGATGTAGCGGAGGTGTGGAGAAAATATTCTGAGAATATTTACTTCAGACTTCCCGTTAATGTAAAAAAATGCTTTCATTGCAATATCACGCATCTGTTCACTAAACGATATCTCCTTCAAACAGTTCACGTTCAAAAGGTTGCTTCATATAAAGAACTTGCAAAAGTTATAAGAAAGGAAGCTCAAAGAAGGATGACTAGTTTCATTAATATCAGAAGAAGACACAATTTAACATAACAGTACAAAATGTTAAAAAATAGGAACAAAGCATCAAAATATTATTTTAATTCACATTTCTTAGAAAAAATAGCAATACAAATAAAAAAAATATAAGCAAAATTTTTTTTTAATGCAAAAAGTTTTTAAATAAATTTGATAAGATTTGAAAAATAATCATAAGCAATACTAACAAACACAGTAACTGAACGTCATCATCTCATAGGTCAAGCGGGCGGACAGAATAACATTTTGTGTCATTGAGCCTAAACCACTAGGAAACGGCAAGGATCATTGTGAAGTCTAGAATATGAAAGGTGTGGGGATGTGGCGGAGGTGTGAAAAAAATATTCTGGGAATATTGCTTCAGACTTCCCATTAATGAAAAAAATTCTTTCATCGTAATATTACATGTCCATTCACTAAACGATATCTCCTTCAAATAGTTCATGTTCGAAAGGTTGCTTTATATAAAGAACTTACGAAGGTTACAAGAAAGAAAGTTCGAAGAAGGATGACTAGTTTTATTAATACTGAAAGAAGACACAATTTAACATAATAGTATGAAATGTTAAAAAAAATAAGAACAAAGCATCAAAATATTATTTTAATTTACATTTCTCAGAAAAAATAGTAATACAAATAAAAAAAAAATATAAAGCAAAATTTTTTTTTAATGCAAAAAGTTTTTAAATAAATTTGATAAGATTTGGAAAATGATCACGAGCAACACTGATAAATACAGTAACTGAACGTCATCATCTTATAGATTAAGCAGGCGGACAGAATAACATTTTATGTCACTGAGCCTAAACTATAATAGTCCTTCATTACGCTTCAGACTAATCAATTATTTTGTTTGAATTTATAATAATTAATAGAACTAATGCTAATAAAAAAACTTTATTAAATTAATTACTTTATTAAATAATTTAATTATGATAAATAATCATATTTAATACAATTATTATATTATTAATTGTCAATAATATAATTATAATTTTTGTTAAAACAATATAAACTGAACTTTTATTAATAAAATTAAAATCTATCAAATTTCAGTTTCTTATTATTTTATTCAATATATTATCAATTTCATTTAAAATAATATTAGTAATTTAATTCTCAAAATTATATAATTCAGATTTGATTTTTTTAATAATTTATTTTACTACTAATTTATTTATTTTTTTAAACTGAAAATATAAATATTTTATTATAAAATAAAATTATAAATAATCAATAAATTAATACTATCATATCACTTATATTTTTATACTCTTTTTCTTGATTATTAATAATATTTTGAATTAATTTTAAAAATTTTTAATTTTCTTTTTGATCAAATCAACCTTTATGAATAGAATTCAAATAAACTTTAAATTTCTGATAAGATAATTGGTTATATTTAATTTCTGTATTAAGTATTACACATATAAGAAAACAAATTTTTTTTAAATAATTAAATAGAATTTTATAATAAAGCATTTTATAATATTTGATAAAACTTTTTTAATATTAAAAATAGAATCCTATAAATTATAATCCTATAGCTAAAACTTTTGTAATTACATGATATTACTCTTTAAATATATATAAATGTATCAAATTATCTTTATCACTTTTAATCATATTTACATGTAAAATAGTCAAAGACTTATGATAGATTTAATTAATTTTTATTAATTTTTTATGTTTATAAGATCACACAGATAAAAAAAATATATAAAACTAATTTTGTATTCTATAATATAATCTTTTTTTAAACTTTTCTCATATTATATTCAGAATATATTTTGTATCATAATATAATTTTATTATTAAAGCACTTGTTAAAGTTTAATCCTTTATATATATTAAAAAATTTTAAGTTTTTTCAAAATTAATTTTATAGATTATACTAATCTTATTATTTTTAAATTTATTAATTTTTTCAAAGATGAAATTTTTTCTTTTAATTCTTTTTTTTCTTTATAAAAGTTAAATAATTTTTTTATTGTATAAATATTATTTAAATAATAATAATATTTGTTAATCATAAATTTGACTTCTTTAAGTTCCTATATTTATTAAATTTTTTAAATTAAAATTTATTTAAATTTTAAATTTATAAATTAAATTATTACTTTCGTTCTTCTTTATCAATATAACAATTATTCTAATCAATATTAAAGTTATTTTATCAATCTTTTGAATATTAATGAAAAAGTTACACTATAAGCTTTTATTAGCAAAATTATTTTATTTATATTTATAATGATAAAAATATATTAGAAGTTATAATTAAAACTTGATATTTTATATATTATTTTAAAATATACTATACATTTAACATAATATTATGTGATTTATATTAATTATATGATTGAAAAATTGATTTTTTATAATTAGAACTGAATGTAATCTTTTATTAAATTTAATTTCTGATAATAATATAATATGTTATAATAAAAATAAGATTTGCTATTCATCCAAACTTTTTAATTTAAACATCACACATATATAAGCATCTAATCTCATCTGATTTGTAATTTATTAGCATTTTGTTAATATAACATTATTATTATACTTTTAAATGGTATAAATTCATAAAAGTAATTTAGCTCAAATCATATAGTATATAATTTATAACACTAGCTTAATAATAATAAATTTGTAATAAATAAGTATTTTAAGGGTAAAAGTATTATAATTGAATTTATTCTTTCTGATATAAAATCAATTTTATTATTTTTAATAATAAGATAAAATTTTACTTAATTTATAAGTATAAGGTAAAAGTAAAGAATAAAAATATTCAAGTATATTCTGAAAATTCAATATTAATATTTTAAAAAATAGATTATTATACATTTAGAATTAAAATTCTCAATTATTTAAAATATTTAAAATAATAAATAATATTTAAAATAGAAATATATAAAGAGTTTACATTAATTAAAAAACTGCTAATAATTTTTATTTAGCATATTTTAGAATTATTATGTAAAATTTTATATAATTATTAATTTGATTTAGTTACTAATTAGTTAAGCTATACTTTTTTAAAAAATTCAATATAATAAAATGATTATATTCATTATATTTTCACAAATTATATAAATTTTAACTATTACATATATATAGAGGGTGATCACGGGTACCTGAATGATAAGTATTTTTTGTTTATTTACTTTGTTTACATGTTTATTATATTTCTAATTTAAGCATTTGTTTAGAATATAAATGGATATCGATCAAATAATAACAAATAATTTTCTTTTGAACAAAAATGGTTAAAACAAAAGAATTGAATGCTAAACAATATGGGGCAATTCTTTATGGCTACAAACGAGATGATTCATATCAAAAAATTGCTGACATTGTACAATGTGGTAAAACAACTGTCTATAATGTGATAAAACATTTTAAAGAAACTGGTTCTGTAATACTAAAAAAACATTGTGACCTGAAGCCACTTTTTAATTCAAATGCATAAACTTTACTCAAAAAGATTATTACACAAAATTTGAAGTATCATCACCTTACCACTCAAAAAATTCAAGAATTATAGACTAAAAAAAAGAAAGTTTCAACTGTTACAATTCGTCAGACTCTTAAAAAAGTCAGTTTATATTTGTGTATTACCTATTCTAAACTATTAATTTCTGAAAATAATAAAGAAAAAAATTAGCTTGAACATTAGAATAAGAAGATTAGACAATTGCAAAATGGAAGAAAGTTGTATGGTCTGATAAATTAACATTTAGCCAATTTTCACAAGGTCGTAGCTTACGTATATGGTAAATACCAGAAGAAGAATTTGACTCTTCTTGTTTAACTGCTATAGTAAAGCACAATCCTAGTCGAATATTTTAGAGATACTTTTCGTGGTATAGATTGGAACCTCTTGTTCCTCTTCGCGAATCTGTAACAGAACAAAGATATGCAAAAGTGTTACAGAGGCATGCCTATTCCTTCAATTTACAAATTAGTTTCTCGCAAATAAGGAATTTTTCAAAAGGATAATACCCCACCTTATTGAGCAAAGATTGCCACTGATATTCGTAACGCCTCTAAGATTTCCATGCTACCCTGGCCTGCACAAAGCCCTGATTTAAATTCTATTAAAATCTTTGGAATAAAGTTGATAAGAAACTTCATAACTTGCCTAATCAACCTAAAAATGTGGAAGATTTAGAACGTAAGGTAAAATATGCTTGGCGTTCAATTCCACTTGAGTATATTCAAAATTTGGTTGAAAGTATGCCCCGTCGCATTCAAGCATGTATAGCAGCTGAAGGTGGTTCAACAAAGTATTAGTTTTTATTTTTTTTTTAATAAAATATATAGGAGATGTTCAGAACAAATAAATTTTTTGCTTATTCTAAAAAAAAAGTTAATATAATAAGTATATTCAAATAGTTAAATTAATCATTCGGGTATCCGTGATCACCCTCTGTAGAACATAATTCATTAATCTTTGAAAAGTTCCTGAAGCATTATATAATCCAAAAGGCATTACGTTAAACTCATATAATCCAAAGTTGGTGATAAAGGCAGTCTTTTCCTTATCCTTTTCTTCCATTTCAATCTGCCAGTAACCACTAGCTAAGTCTAATGTAGTAAACCAATTTGCTGTTAAATAATTCTAACATATCATCAATCCTAGGTAAAGAGTAAGCATCCTTTTTCGTGACTGTATTCAGTTTTCTATAATCAACGCACATTCTTTTATCTCCAGTTTTCTTTGCTACAATTACTACTGGTGAGGCCCATGGACTTTTTGATTTTCTAACAATACCTTTGTTTTTCATATCTTCAATTTCTTGATGCAGAAATTGTTGGTTATCTGGATTACATCTATATACTGTTTGTGCAATTGGTATGTCTTTTTCTAGAATTATGGAATGTTTGATAATAGCAGTTCGTCCTGTATCTGTTTGATTTCTAGCACACAAATCACTATTTTCTTCGAGAGTTTGTTGAAATGTGTTTTGTTGATGGGTATTCAATGGTCTAACTTGTAATTTAGGTTTTTCTTGTCCTTCCTTTGGCAAGTCAGCTAGATACACACTTGGGTATTTATTTTTATGTATCCTTATATGAATTTCTTCTAAGATTCTGTCTGCATATTTAGTATAAGTGGGAGTTATTTCATCTTGTTCCACTATATCTGCATATTCTTTAAAATAAAATGACTACCATTTTTTTTGTTTTTCTGATTCAGTCTGCTCAAAGGCCCAATTTAGTACGATTTTAGTAATATATACATCACAATCATAAAAGTCATCATTAAAGAGATACTCTACATTTTCAGATTTAATTGGAATGCCTGTTTCCTTATATGTTTCTTTTAATACTGCTTGAAGTGATGTTTCATTAGATTTTACTTTTCCGTCTGACACTTACTACATTTTATACATTTCTTTTCGTGGATTAATTCTTTGTGACATGATAATGTCCTGGTGGTCATACATAATATTCATTATATACTTTGGTTGAGCATTATTTTTAACTTCGCTTAGAAATACGTCATATTCATCTAAGTCTTCTTCCTCATATTCATCTAAGACTTGATCTAAGTTTTCTCTTTCATCTACTATTCCCTCTTCAAAAAGGATGTTAAAAGTAGCTCATTTAGTAACATATGAAATAGAAGCAGTTTGTGTACTAAAGTCAAGATTCATTTTAGTTTTCTACACTAATCTACTCCTAATAACAATGTATCCTGTGATGATTCAATTACTTGAAGTTCTACTGAAACTGATACATGTTGTATAATTATTCTTACTTCAGTAATTTGTCCTAATGCTCTTACACGACTTCCATTAGCTGTAGTTACAATTAATTTAGAAGGTTTATCAATATTAAGTCCTAACTTTTTAGCTAACTTATTGGTAATAATGCTGACAGCTGCTTCTGTATCAATTATAGCTTCGATGAGATTATTTTTAATCCTAATATATGCTTTGCAGGAAGTTGTTTTCTTTCCTGGTTCATCATCTATGAACTCTAAAGAATTAACACTAGGTGTTGATATAAGATGACGTCTTAAGGCATTTGCTAAATTCCTCCTTTAGGCTGGTATTTGTAACTATTATCCTAGAGTCACAGAAGATTGTTTTGATAGGATATCATCAGCTATATTATATGGTGCAAGATTATCAATTCTGAAAGGATTTCGTGTTCTTTTAACTGGTTTTTGTTTAGGAGTGAATTCTATTTCCATTTCAATTGGATTAATAATATGAGTTCTAAGATTCATTTCTTTATTCGACTTAGACGTTCTAGTCATTTCTCTTTGTCATATTCTTACATTCTTTCTATCAGTAGTATATAGTCGAGACCTTTCTCCTGCATATACTTCAGATATTTCTTCTTCTTCTTCGTCATCAGTAAAACCTCAATTAAATTAACATTTCTTGGCTTCGTTTTGAAAGATCTTTCAGATAAACATTCCCTAGAATAATGATCCTTTTCCTTATATCACCAACAAATTACTTAGCTTTTGTCAAAAGGTTTTCTGTCATTATTATTCCTTGTAACATTTGTACTTTTATGTTAGATATTTGTGATCCTTGGAGTCCCATTTTGTGCTGCTAATACATTGACAATATTCGCATAATTAAGGGAGAGTTATTCCATTTGCTTCATCAAAGCTTCAATTGCATCATTATTAGTGACTTGTGGGAATTCTTTCATGTAATATGTTCCCGCTTCAGTTGCTCTAGCTTCATTCACAGCTGCTCTAAGAGTACTAGGATCTGCCATTGCAACTCTTGCTGCAATGTTAGATTTTAACCCGTTTAAAAATAATCTAATTTCGTAATTATTTGGTAAATGATCACCTGGGTCAACTAATCTTTTAAGGTTATTGAATCT